GGTTGGGCCAAGTACAAATGTGAATAGGGGCAGAAACTGTACGCATTGTATGTGTAGTGTAAACACCTTCGATTGTTATGAATACAGTGGAGAGATTGTGAAAGGATTGATCACATTGTGTGTTTACAAAGCATTACTATATCCATTTTATGAGTTAATCATAACGCGGTGCCTCAGCCTGTGCGTGCATGAGGTCATGCCTGTTACTGTTGGTCTGCGGGTTGTTTTTGTTTCCTGCCAATGCCAGTCCATTGTTTACTGTATATATTCTTTACTGAAAATACTGTAAATAGAGAGTGAGTGAGTGGAAATATTGAATTAATACCCCTCAATTATTAAATGTACGTTGTAAAGCATTCCTTATTTCTCCCAACCAAAGCAATGTGGAATGACCATTACTGGATGGGGGGCCATCACAGGATTAGAGCCCTCGCTCCAAGCTCATTAGAGCAGAGACATTTTTATTCTGCTTTATTGAGTCATGAGACGTTTCAGAAGGGCCCTGTGTAGTTATATGTTTGAGTTCTATTTGGGTCCTCTGGTTTCTTACCAGAAGTGCTCAGCTAAGAGCCACTCGTGCTCAAGGGTACCACTCAAAAGTGCACACAACCACGCCAGAAACCCACTTGCTGTACTGCCATCTTCTGCAGCACAGGACGATCCGTGCGTGACCCACCAGCCACTGCCTCCATATGAGCATACAAACGCTTACGTTACTTACTCCGACAGCCGGCGCTGCTTGTGCTCTTAGCCAATCACCAGCCATCAACCCCGTCCTTCCTCCCCTCTTCCTAGCTCAGCGTTCTTCATTGCAAGGCCCGCGGGCCACTGGCAGCCCCTGGTGACCTTTAGTGCGGCCGCTGACGCGTGGCTCCCTAACAATGCACAACAAGGAAATACACCCCTTGCAGGCGGTGTGGCGGGCCTCGCACTGATATCTGATCGGCGAAAGTGGCCCCCTCAGAAAGTTAGCGAAGAACACTGAACCAAGCTCGTTGCTTGGGCCCTTCTAGCCCATGGCACTCCGGTGCATTTGCACCGCCTGCGCACTCGATAGCTACGCCACTGGGGCATGCACCACCATTCCCCAGCACAGTGCACGTGGAGGGTCAGTGGGTGAGAAAGTACAAGGGCCTGTTTTGGCTGAGAATCCAAATACCTTGATAGCGCTCACGTCAGATTGCTTGCACCTGCTGCGGATATTTGAAAGTCAAGGTGGTAAGGTGGTGGGTGGTGTTTGTGCAGTGCCAAAGGGCATAGTCGCGGCAAGTATTGCAACTGGGTGCTGGTTTCTTGCCGTGGCCTCCAAGCTGCCCACACAATTATGCCCCAGATGCATAGTAAAAGTGCCACTTTCTATCCACTGCTGGATGAAGGTCCGGTGTTGCTGTCGTTCGTTCGTCTCCTGCACGTGAACTGATCGCATCTCTGTTGTGTGATTACTCGACAGTTCATAGTTGTTTGAAACATTGCGTGGCTGGGCAAATGAATAACAATTAAACATACACGGGGACAATTCACACAATGTGTAACTCTTGGAATGGCTCGACAATGGACGCGTTTGACATTCTTCCAGCAGTTTAAACAAACGAGCCCCCAGCTGACCGGCCGAATTAATGACGATAGTGTATCTTTGTTGGAAACACTGACCGGCGAACAAAGGCGATGAGAAGAAAATAGAATATTAACTTTTTTTTTATTGTGCAAAAAAAAGGGAGTCTTTTGTCGGGGCGGGACTGAAAAGAGGTTTTTTTTTAAATTCCGTGGTGGTGGGGGTGGAAACGGGACGGTGCATGGGGGCTGGTGATGGTCGGTGGTGGGAGGAGATAAAAAAAACCCAACATAAAACATTCTTGCGGTGGCAACCCCCAAACGGGCACAGCTGTGAAGTGTCGGCCACGAGGATTGTTTGTGTCGTCCTGGCGGGCGGTTGGCTGGCCGGGCCACAGCTGGGCGTGGGCAGTGGCCAGACCCTGGAAGGATGCTTACAATCGAGCCGCCGCCTCCTCCTCCTCCCCTCCTCGGCAGGTCGGGCGACACGCGAAGGAGCGGGAGGAGGGGAAGGGATGGTGGGTGGCTGCTCGTATAGAGAGAGGCGGCGGGCGGGGGCTGGGCTGCCCATTCACAGATAGAGGCTCGACGCGTGATGAGGCACAGTCGCAAAGGGCTGCGTGGTCGCTCATGCCGGGAAAGAGGCGGGGGGGGGGAAATGGAAACATTCGAAGAGCTGCGAGGCTTCGGTTGAGTGGACCCGCGAGGACTTCGCTTTTGCTGCGTGTGAATTATGTAGCCCAAGTTGGGAATGCTGCGTATATACATAATCTAAAAATTACTGTTTAGGTAATTTTGGATTTAAAGCTTTCGTGACTGCAGGGATTCATCTTCTTGGTTCTTTCGGTAAAATTTTGATTTAAAGCTTTCGTGACTGCAGGGATTCATCTTCTTGGTTCTTTCGGTAAAGTCACGTAGAAGGGAAATAATAAAATAATAAAAATAAAACATAATAAAATAATTCTCACGACGTTTCGGTCACAACGCAAGCAGCCGTCCTCAGGTGAGGACGGCTGCTAGCTGTCTTTCCGACAGACCTGTTCTTCACCTGAGGATGGCTGCTTGCGTTGTGGCCGAAACGTCGTGAGAATTATTGAATTGTTTTATTTTTATTATATTATTATTTCCCTTCTACGTGACTTTACCGAAAGAACCAAGAAGATGTTTAGGTAATGTTAAATACATTAATTTACCATTGGACCATGAAGGCCTCCGCACGCCGTGTCGGTCCAGGGGAGGTTTTATTGACCATACTTCACCATGCCAGGCAGACCACGTTTGTGAAGTGGGTGGCCTAGGACCACTTCATGTATCGCTTGCCCAACTGGTATTAACCTTGGCCAGCAATTGAATTCCCAGAACGACGTGTGATCGCTTCACCACTGCTTTACTGCCCCCCGGGTATATGTATGTGTATGTGTGGATCATATGTAGTTAACAATAACACGGTTTCCTGAAATTACAACAGTGGATTCTTTAATCCATGTGTGGAGAGTTTTAATTGTGGGCGGGTGCACGCTTTCCTCACACACAGAGCCATCACTCATGGATGGAATTGGCAAAACATGTGAAAAGTTTTTAATCAATAAGCAAACAATTTCTCCTACACTTACCCGTCTCTAACATAAAAAAAGTATTTCTTATTCAACCCATCAGCCACACGGTCTTCTGGGCATCCGTAATTTCAGCGGCATTGTTTCAAGACCAGCAAAACTCTGGAACCAGTTTTGACATACGGTGTCTTCCTGAGGGGAAAACAAGTTCAATAGACTCATTCAGACTTTCAGTTTTTAAACTTTTGAACTGTGATATTTAGTGACTCACAATGGTTGATGTCGTCGTTCTGCAAGTGTTACGTTTCAGGCACTTTATTGTGCTACAAGCGTATGGATTGAACTCTGAATTAACCTACACGTAAATCTTAACCCATGATTCGCCGTGGGAGTTTATAAAATTGGGAACCACTTTGCGGAAAGCCAACAGTAGTTGTTCTTACTCTTAGGTTTTTTCGGTAAAGTCACGTAGGTAAAAAATAAAATTAAAATTAATAAAAGTAAAATAAACAAGGTATACAAGGTCGGGTCTCTTGGAATTTCTCTTTACTTGATACAGCAATCGTGCAGTGACGGTTCCACCTGAAGACCGAAGCTTGTGTTGCCTCCGAAACGTCGTGATTTTTTATTTTACTTTTATTAATTTTAATTTTATTTTTTACCTATGTGACTGTACCGAAAAAAAAACCTAAGAGTATGAATCCTTGCAGTCACGAAAGCTTCAAATCTAGTGGTTGTTCTACGTGTAGTACTTACGGGGGCCAGGACTACACGTAGAATGTGTTCTATGTATTCCTATGTGATGGGGGCACCCTAGTGATGTGTCATTTCCATCACCGTCTCAGGACCACCTACGACGATGAGTGCCACGCCACACACTCAATTTGAGCAGGCGGACACATTTGGAAATTTCTGGGCTAATTATACTCTGGAAAAAAAGCTATCCATGAACAAAAGTGTGAGGTCGGGGGGGGGGGGGGGATATTTCTTATTGTGTTCTTTTACTTAACACCTTCGGCCTAAAATGCTCTTACCAAAGAAAGGCACGGATCGCGGGACGATCTTGATTCCGCCGAAGTGTCCCATGTCTTTTCGTCACGACAATGAGTCCACAAGTGACGCATTTCTCAAAGGAATCTAATTAAACGCGGGTGGGGGAAATTTTGATGAATTGGATGTTAATGAGGCAGATTATGATTATGAGCCGAGCCTTTTGTGAGTAGAATGGCCAGCTGAGCCGCGGCTTAAACTGCTCTCGGTGTGCAGGCTTCTTTGTGCCTCCAGGCCCCTTTGGCATCCCTGTCCCGTTCAGTGGAAAATGAGCAGGAATCCGCGAGTGGAGTTTTTGAGAGAATGGATGGCCTGTAATGCCCCGCAAAATGGAAAAGCACGTTAAGAACGGTCATGCTGTGTATTATTTTTTTCACTGTGAACATTGTTTTATACATAATACATTTTTTAGTCAGTTCGTGTAATAGCAGAGAGTGCGTCTGTGCCAAAAATCTGTGTAAGGGTGGCCAAATAAGTGGTAAATGCCACGTCAATGTTTGTTTTTATTGTTCTATGATATTGTTGGTAAAACACGGTACGGTAAATGTCCGTGGTGAAAATGTGGTAACCGTTTAGTTTCCCACCTATCATCACTTTAGTGACTAAAACATTTAACCACTCGCTCGTATCTTCCACACTGTCATCAAAAAAATACCCTTACTCATTGTTTTTCTTCTGCCTTATGAAAACCAGCCTGATTTGCTCTTTCAGTTACCTACGGGAAAGCGAGCCGGTGGTTAATTGTGGGCTTTGTTGAACGGTTTCTTGTTGAGAAAACAGCAGTATTTGGTTTCAAGGTCTCTGTCAATCACGCTGGTAACGTCTCCCCCGTTTCCCTCTCCCCAGTGGCATGCAGACCTTGCAATGACACGGAGCTGCTGATGGCTGTCTGCACGAGCGACTTGGGTAAGAAGCCTTATTTTACTACTGCATAGGTTTTTCGCGGCTGTTACCGGCGCATCTCCCCGGTGTGTTCTCGGGTTGTGCCGCGCATTGTTCGGCGTGATGTCTGGTTGTTTGCTCCACGTGCTGGGAGCCGTTTCAAAATTAAGTTTTTGAAGAAGCTCTCGGCAACGTGGACCGGACTTCGGACGCTACGATGAATAAACGCGTGGTACAACCCGAAAACGCGCCTGAGAAGTCCCCTTTGTCCACCCGCACATGGCCATCTCCGCTGCACTGTGTTTTCTAAGCCATGTGTGAAGGCTCTTGGACATGCCTCCTCAAGCCGTCGACATCTATCACGGTCTATGCGACGCATCATCCATCTACCACTGGCACACGGGCTCACTTGGTCTCCCCACCTCCGTGGTAGACGTCCTCTCCGCGCATTCCTTCCCTTGGCGGCCACAGGTTCGCTGTAGGTGAAGCTCTTTATTTGTTTTGTCATCGCGGGTCACTTGGGGTGTGGAGACTCCACACAGTGCTGGCCCAGTGGACGGAGCTATTTACTGTTTGCTAAAGTAAATATTGGCCTCATGCTCTTGTTTGCTTAAACCTTGCGACATCCATCAGTATCAAAGGTAGACTTTGTCAAGAGGCCACGATGTGTTCAGAGGCTTCCTGCATTTAATTGTGCTGAATATTTTTGCCCTATTTGCATCAGACTCACAGCTTGGCCCTCCACTAGGAACATCATTAAACGTAATTACACTTCGTACTTTTAAAAAGGTCAACGTGTCCCCCTGCTTTAACGAGCGTTGGGTCGAGTGCACCTCCGTGGGCGACCCTGAGCCAGTGGTGGAATCTCCGCGTTTCCCATGGCAGGGACAACTCTCTCCGTAGGAGCCGCCCAATTGAATTCCCACAAATCGGTACTATTTTATAGACGCCGGGTTCAAACTCGCAACCTTCCAACTGTGTGTTGGGCTTGACTGCCACAGTGCTGCTTAACGGGATTCACTATTCGTTGCTGAACATTACGTAACGGCACAGCCGTAGCGTTCGGCCACATCTATGACCAACGACTGAGGCGCTAGGGTTCGGCAAGAAGCTGCGGTAATCTCTGACGGTGCGTAGCCCCTGGCTTTTGTTTCCGGCAGGAGTGGGAGTCCACTGGAGCCTGTCCCCTCCCCTGTGCCTGGATGATCGTAATCGCGCCGCTTGCTGAAAGCACTCGGCGGCCAATCTCAGCAAACACTTTCCCGCGGAATTTGACAAAGGGCAGTTGCACCTTTACCTGGTCACCTCCATGCATAGCTCGTGAGGAGTGCTGAGAGAATAGTGGAGTGGCTTTCTCCGAGGTTGGCGGTGTGTTGTTACATGGGGCTGTCGTGTCTCACCTGAGATCGATTCCCGGTCACAACTAACATCGGTGATGGCAGGTATTGTCCAGACTGGTCCTCCACCCCCACTCAACAGCCCGCACTGGCCAGGGTGGTGAAGTATGCTCAAACAACCCCCATGGCTGACACCAAATGGGGAGGCCTTCATCCAAAACAGTGGATTGACTACCAGATGTAATTTGTATTCTCTTGATTTATAAGTCTTGTGCTAGTGCTCATAGAGTGTTGAGGCTGATCTTAATGTGAAGAACAAAATAGATAAGGGTATAAACATTTATCCATGAAAAATATAAAATGTTTTTTTCCCCAGACCCCATCAGCCCCACGGCCTTTTGAGAGTGCATAATTTCAACAGCATTGCATTAACATAAGCAATGCTGCAGAAATGATGCACTCCCAGAAGGCTCATGGGTTGTGGATAAAACATACTTTATTTTTGTGTGGATAGACGAAACAGTGTTTGAAGGAGACATTATCTGCTTATCGCTTTTGTTATTTATATTCTCCAAATGGATGCTAATGATCACGACCCGAAACAAGTTTGTTCCCGTGTATGGTATCAGCCCCTTTTGTTCCTGGAGATGTTATCAAACACTTTCGTTGTTTAAACACTTGGGGGATGCTTCCTCTATGTCTTATTTGTTCAAGGTGAATTGCCCCAGTAACATTTCCGCCATTGTGGTGTCTTATCGGAGCCATCTCGACCTCTCCTGGAGTTGTCCCTCTTTGTCCCCTGGCTGGTAAACTGATGTCAAGAGCTGATATCAGCAGTGGCGGTTTGGATGGGCCCTGGTGCAAGGGATGACATGGAACCCTTGCCCTGTCCATTTTTACCCACTCTACGTAGTCTGGCACTTGGGCTGTGGGTTCCAGTGTTTAGTTTGTTGTCCTTCCCCAAACTTCCGATTTAGCTTGGTTGGCTACGTGCGGTGCGAAAGAAGTTCAACATACATACATACAATCCACTTGTCCTACCTGCTCACTTGGTAGCTAGGCCATTGGTATCGGCAGCTAAGGCTCAACCAACTATCTTGTAATGTCCGACCATCACCTGCTAAAATTTGTATCATGCATGGACTGTACCCAGCACTGTGGCAAAGATAGTTGGGAGTTCAAATCCCTGTTGGGGGGTCAAGTCCATAATTTCTCGTGGTTAGACTAAACGAGTACAACTTTGTGGATAGTCCGTGATATTTGCTACTTGGATAGACTCTGTCTCGAGCACAGGCAGTGTGCAATTTCCAATGGTGCTGAACACGACTCAGTGAATTATTGGACCTTAGAGACTTCACTCTTAACAATCATTACACATATATGCGCGCCAAAACGTTGTGTTAGCAATTTGAAGAAAAAAACTTTAAACGTGTTTTAAATTGGGAGTCAGCCTACCTTTCAAAGGACCCACACTGAATCGACTTGTTAACGACTTTGCACCTTTTTTGGTGAGTGACCCTGCACATCACCGAGCAAAATTGACCATCAACGGCAAAAAAAAGATCTGCTCACCTGTGAGGTGCGACAATCTCTTTTCTTATGTCCGAGTTTTTAAACACCGGGGTGTAAGCGATCTGTTGAAGATTTCCCCAAGAAACCTGTCTCCCACCATCCCTTCACCGCTCTCTCCCGACTTTCCGTCCCCCATCTTTCTCCCAATTCCAGCGCATGCCGACGGCCCCGTTGGCCAGCGAACACTCGTAACTGCATTGGGCTGCCGCCCGGTGCATTTAAGCGCTTGTTCACAAACGCAGCTGCGCCGCCGATCCCTGTGCACACAAAGACCCGAGTAGCGAAAGGCCCTTTGTTGAGGCCTTGACTGGCTGAAAAGCCTGTTTGGGCTCATGGCTGACGGCACACAATGGGATGTGTCGCCTGTCAATGACTTTTTGGCTTTTTCATAGGCTAATTTTTTATTCATTAACTAAATGTTTAGATGTTTAATGTTAATGCTTCAACTAAAAGGCGACTGAATAAGTGACTCGAGCCCCGGGCCGCAAGTGACGACACAAAGTGATCATTATTTTATTTACTGATGAATGTTAAATGCACTTCATTTTCAAATTAAAGTTAATTGCTGTATAAGTGACTTGTTTTACATGTAACTATTACTATTGATTATGCAACGCTTTGCTCGCTTTGAAGATAATTAACTAACGCAAGTGAAACTTTTTTAAATTACATATCAAATCACTAAAAACAAAATAGTCAGCGTTGTGTAATTTTCCTACGGTAAAAACAACAACATTCTCTATATATTTTGAGAATGCTCATAGAATTGGAGTAGGAACAGAGGTAAATTTTGTCTCAAAGCCAGATCACATATTCCTATCCCATGAAACACCCTTTGCAATTTTTCTCTTCACAGTTTTTTAGATAACAAACTAAGAGAAAATTAACTCCCAAGGTGTGCACACAACCAGCCAAATGCACAAGTACAAACTATATAATAATTGTAGGCACCATTATCAGTAGTTGTCATACATAAGCACTGGTTAGTTTTTCTTCTGCTTACCCAGCCTGCAAAGTGGTATTTAATTGTTCAGAAGTTGGGTTAACACCTCTTATCCCAGTTCTAATTGTAGGCATGGAGAAGCATTGTAGCCTCAAATAAAGCAATTAGTTGAACCCGATGGTCATCTTTTATGCAATTGTGGGAAAGCTTAACATTTTTTGTCCTTCGTCAAAAAAAGAAGAAGATGGTTTTGTATTTGTTTGGTGGGCAAAACACAGCCCCTCTTTCTTGGCCCATCTGGGTGTTAACCGCCGCTGTTTTGCTGCAAGAAAAGGGGGCCTAACGGGTCGTGATCAGGAGGAGTGGACGCTGATCTTTCTTTTTTCAAACTCCACGGATGAAACTGTCTTGTCTCTTTGTGGCTGGGTGTGGACGATTGGAGAGGATTTGGGGTTGGGCGGCCGATTTAGCGAGAGGAGCGTAAGCGGCCGAGCGGCGATGGATACAATGATCCACCCTGTGAGGGGATGGACCGGCGGGGGCTGAAGGCCATTGCCGGCACAGACCCGTTCTTTTATACGCAGCCGTGCGTCCCGTCCCAGAATGAGCTTGCCGATGGCTGCTCATGAATAGATGGGGCTGGCAATGAAGATTCTCACCAACAAAGGGAAACTTCATGGTTTTGCACGTGAAGAGAGGACACCAGGGCCCGCATTGGACACCATAAGCATCACAATCGCGCATTGTGGCACGCACAATGTAGGCGGGCATAAAGGACAGATTTTTAAACGTTAAAAGTTTTTCGATAGCCCCAGAAAATTCTGGAGCCCATGCCTTTGTGTTGATGTTTTGGAGAAAGCTTGCGCTTCCCCGAGTGGCTCCTTTTGGGTCACAAGTATCTTCGTAAAGGGCCATCACGAATACTCGGACTTTCAAGCGCAGGCATCTCAAGTACATAAATCCATCAACAGTAGCACCACACAGCCAGCCGCAAAAGACCAACGTAACGACGCGTGGAATACACGACACGTGGAATACACATATGGGTTATGCGTGACACAATATTTGTAATAAATATAAAAAAATAATTTAAACTAACCACTGCTTCTAATTCCTGAAAGCATTTAACATTTCTTTTCGTTTTATGCTGGTGTAGCAGACCGATATGCTTGTGCAATTTAATGCAACTACTCCATTAAACAAATCCCGTTTGGTAGGGTTCGGCAGCTTGTGTCGTTTGATTGATTCAAAGGCATTTTTTAAAATAAATGAGCAGTAATGAATGAGCTCTGTGTTAAGCAGGATGGGTAGATGGTGACAGATGAACCAATGGACAAAGGTGGGCGTGTGACGAGAGTAGCGCTGCGTTTGCGACTTTGGCCTGGTGCTTGTCCGTTGGGAATCGGTGGTTGTGGGATTTTGTGGGAGAGTTTGGGTTCAGTTGCATTAGCAGCAGACGAGAGGCGGGGGGCAGTACATCGGTGTATTGGTGTGATGGGATTGGTGGTGACTTGTGTGTAAGGTTGTGTGTTTGAGCCGGGTGGGGGGGGGGGGGCACGTGAATGGTGGCCCTCCCCGAACGTTGCCGACACTGTTTCTGGTGGTGGGCTTGGGAAGGTGCTCGGAGCCTGGAGGCCATATGGCACCCCCACTTGAGATGCAGATTGGCGTGTGTGTGGCCAGAGGGAGCCCATAATAAACTCAATGATGTGAAAAGCCCCAATGGGTGGCATTGAAAATTGAGAGAAGCTGCCAACAATTGGTCCGCATGATTAATTACTTTTTGTTGCATTGAACTCTTATTCGCGGTTTGGCGTTTGGCTCCCAATGGTTGTGGAGGTCGGTTGTTAGGAATAAGACTTATTGTGTGCCTGACGGTTAGCGTTACAAAAGTCAGACTAAAAGTGAAGCGGATTTGCATTAATACACCCACATGTGTATTAGTAAGGCTAATTACACAGAGGTTTTAGATAATGGCAGAGCAGTGCCACAGTGGTTAGCACTACGCTATGAACCTGGTGATCCAGGTTCAATTCCTGGTGACGGTTTTAAGATGCGTGGCGAGCAATTCCTGAACCGGTGCTGGCCACCTTGACTGACGGAGCATTGAAAGATAATCCAGCAGTGGATAATTTTTTTATGGATAAGTAAAAAATCAAAGCGCCTCCCTGCTCAAACAGCCTCCCTGCTCAAAAATACAATGGAGCAATGCTCATTTCTATGCGTGGTACCGAGGCAATGCCATAAACTCCATATTCTCATGACGGGGACGACCAGTTTGACAAAGAGGTGACCACCATCGGCTCTCAACAAAAGTGGTAATCGTTTTGAACAACTCCAGAGGGATTATAGATTGTCGATGATGACTGGGATTTGAACCCACGACCTTCTGCTTGCGGTGCCACAACCACAATGTGGTGGCACGGACGGCTCCGCTTCACGGCAACGTCCACCCGATGCCGGCGGAACAGCTGGGGCTGTAAATCCTGATGAGCCCAAACAAAGGCGTGTCCTTGTCTGGACTCCGTGAAAGGCTCCTGTACCCATCGCCCGTTTCGTTCACAGTGCGCACCTCCTTCATCGCTGCCGACCATTTCGGTTTAAAATTGGTCACGTTTTTAACCCTTTCCGAAGTTTCAGGGTGGGTGTCCTGTTTACCGCCAAATCTTGGAACGTGCAAGCGGTTCGGCATTAAGTTTATTTAGAGAGGCGTAGCGCTGTTGTTTTTAAAAGGTATTGTACTCACCGCAGAGAAATGTAGGGACACGAGCGCACTCTGCCAATACCTTCTACCAAACTGTGCCACACGCTCTCCCGCCATGGCCTTGTGGGTGCCCCGGTACCGAGAAAGTTATTTTATCATCAGTTTTCCTTCCAATTCCGGATCCGGAAGAAAAACTGATAACATACGTCATCGGAACGGGAAAGGGTTAACATAACGGAAACGTTGAGGTGAACGCGCAGTATATTTTATGCATTTAATACAAGCTGAGATGGGAAATGCTATACGATGCAGTGTTGCTTTCACCTAGTTATCTTCATGTGCAGAATCCCAGGGCACTTTGCCATTAAAGTGCAAACATCCATTGGCCAATAAATCCAGTAAAAATTCGCCAATTCAAACAAATAAGTTTAACATTTGAGGATTGATCGTGCCAGTACAGTACCTGATGTGACCTGGAATAGAGTTCGAGAGGCAGTGAGGATAACGGCTCGAGGCCTTCGCCCACCCCTGAGGGTGCGAGTCGAAACATAAGGTGTCAAAAAGTTCCTATAATTATAACAAAAAACTCAAGACCACGAAAATCCTTGTAAGTAGTAATCACAATAAAAATGGTAATATTGTGATGAAATCAACAAATAAACAAGACAGGACAATACAATTGAGATGGGCAGACATACCAGGCATTCCATGTGAGACACTTGAATTAGATCACATGCTCAAATCACCACGATTCATTGATTGACTAGGGTGATAAATAATTAACTACACAATAATAACATATTCCTTTACTTCTCTGAACGAATAGATAACCCTTACACCTTTCCTTTTCTGTACGTCTTGCAATCCCATCACACTCAATTTGCATCGCAACGCAATTGCAACGCACAGCGCGCGCACACACACCGTCGCGACCCTTGCGTTGCTGACTCGCGTGCATGCTCTTTCCTTGTGCGCCGCGCCCGCTCCGCAGTGGTGAAGGGCTTCATCAAGTCGGTGACTCACGACCGGGCCCACGGCGAGTCGCGGGTCGAGGTCAGCGCGCTGCACGTGCTCCGCCAGAAGGACCAGGTGTTCTCGCCAGTGCGCGGCGGCGGCGGCGGCGGTGGCACGGGGCGCACGGGCCGGGTCATGGGGACGCTGCGGACGCCGCTTCGGTGCGGTGTGCGGCCCGGCGACGGCGCCTTTCTCTTCACGGGCAGCCTGCACTTCGGCGAGGCGTGGCTGGGCTGCGCGCCGCGCTACCGGGACTTCCGGCGCGTTTACCGCGCGGCGCACGCGGCGCGCCGCCACCTGTGCGAGGTGGACGTCGACTGAACAGCGGTCGTGGTGGCACGGCACGACGCGAAATCATCGCGGCCGCCCCCACCTCCCACTGTGCCGGTGGAGGTGGTGGTGGCGGCGGCGGCGGCATCTCGATGGCTCATGATGCTGGCTGCAGGTGGAGAGAAACTCTGCACTGGGTTTTCCAGATGCAAGTGAAGTATACTGCTGCTGCTGCTGCTCTATGCGGGTGATGGATGTCATGGAATGCGGAGGCGGCATGCGATGATAATGGACTCTCAGCAGAGGAGGGTCTCTTGGAGAGACATTACGTGGCCTTGAGATTAGCCGTCCGGAAGAGGGGGCTTTGATGTACCAACACTCAGACAGTACAGTTGCTTAGTTTAAACTCCTGATTGTGATGACTGAAACCTGATAAAAATAGCAGGGTTAAGGGATCATAGATCCACAGCAGTTAAAATGACACTGGGCAATGACCAGGTATTGACCATGGCCAGTTGCCTGAACTGAAATGAGTGAATCAATGTTGAAATATTGAAAGTGTATATTTCTTAACAGAGCTGCTTCCGAAGTCAGACATGATGATTCTTATTGGGTTGTCTTTGCCCACATGAGTGAAAAGTAAAATTCAGTTGAAGCTTCCCGATGGTTTCGTTGGTCGAGCTGAGAGTTGTTATTGGGAAATATTTTTTTGTTTTGTTCCAAACAAAAAGGACGTGTTTCTAATTCGTCTAAATATATTTTCAACAAAGAAGAAGAAAACACAAAGAGGTCATTGTCAGTGATTCGTTTCGATAATTGATCATTAATCATGAAGCTGTGAGATTGGTTTTTGCTCTGTTCAAAGGAGAAGCATTGGAACAGCTGGGCCATTAAAATCACTTGGAGGGCCTTATATAATTAATCACCATGATTTGGCGATTGATGCGATTTTTATTGCTAGACGTAAGGCAGTAACAAATTGCGCTGAATTGTCAACGATGCTTTTCACGTCCCAACCAAGGAGCTTGGGCGGTACATGCCCTGGCGTCGACTGACCGCGCTAATAGTTGTAATTATTCTTGTTTTTGGTCACTTTGTAAAGGTGTCATATGGAAACGTTTGCACTAGCCCTTGAACCACGGCAGCCTCACGCACATACTGATCGCTTTTTTTACAGACACAATGCGCTTCATCGTCACTCTCGGGCCAATACAAATTAGTACCACTTTGTTGCAAAGCAATAGTGGTTGTCCTACGCATATTCCGGCCACTGCTATATGCATTCATTCTAGATTTGAAGCTTTCGTGACTGCAAGGATTCATATTCTTAGGTTTTTTCGGTAAAGTCACGTAGGTAAAACATCAAAATTAATAAAAAATAAATAATAAAAATAAAAACGTCGTGATTTTTGTTTTATTTTATTTTTATTAATTTTGATGTTTTACCTACGTGACTTTACCGAAAAAAACCTAAGAATACTGCTATATGCATATAGAATTGGCTTAGTTCTGCCATTGGACGTTGAGGAAGGCAGACACTTTTGCTTTTGAATTTTGAAATCCATGGATGTGTGTACCTCCCTCCGTGTTGTCTTCATTGCAGTGGCTTTGGTTCCTGTAGATGCCCACTGCTGTCTCTGAGGCACACCAAAACAACCTGCTGCTCCAGAAACTATCTGGCCATGTCGATAATTTGTTGGTTATAGGTCACGGGTTGGTGGGTCACGTAGACTTTCACTTGTGCATGAGTCTCCCAACTTCTTGCAGGTTTGCAAGGTGGTCTGGCGATAGCAGTACAGCAGAGGTTTGAAACCTATGTTAATGGATTTTTTAATCTGCATTTCCCTTTCCACCTACAATACGCTCATTAAGGATTCGATATTAAGTGAAACGGTGTGTGAATATAATTCAACTCCCAACATTGAAATGTCACTCTCAGGCTCAGAGCCATTGTGGGGCATTATCGCAGGAGCCACTGGTCTCAAGCGTGCCAGGTGTTGGATTTTAAGCCCCAAGTGATTGTGCTCAATATATTTGGATCAGGAGATATATTTGTACAAACCTCTCTTCCATTGTACAACCACTGTATAATGAAGCTTGTACCAAGGCCGTGCCTAGTCAACAACCCAACCCAGCCGAGGAGGCTCCAGGCTGTTTTTTCCACTGCAGAAGACGAGCCGTGCTGCAGACGTCACACGCAAGGAACGAGTCACGATGCATGCAGATGACGTGCGCGGTGGTCGTGTCCCCACAGTGTACTGACTGACAACATACGCAATAAACTCTTTAACTTTCACTTTGGGACTTGAATACTGCGCAAGCCTGTGTAATCAACAAAACATTTGGAGGTTTTTTTTTCTTTCCCCACGCTTGACTCTGAAATTTTGGTCGAATATTTTTTGTTCTCATTCCAATGACAGTCACCACCTTATTGCATTGAGGTTTGCTGTGTACATGTGAATGAATGCAAATGCGTGCGTGTGCTAAATCCAGCTGCAATCAGACAGGCGTTTGACACACGCATACGTTTTGTTGTTCTTAATTCATCAAACGAGTATGAAACCGTCTTATGGAATATTTTTGTAAGTTATTTCTTTTCCCCACATCAAGTAATGTGTCATTTAATCAGGGTTGGCTGTGTGCAGGATTATATGGAGATCTAAATATTAATGAGATCCGTGAAATAATGTTAACTCAATCAAAACACCCTGCAGTGAGCTTGTCAGCATTAATTCTAGATTTGAAGCTTTCGTGACTGCAAGGATTCATACTCTTATGGTCTTTTTCGGTAAAGTCACGTAGGTAAAAATAATAATAATAATAAAATAAAATAATAATAAATGAAAATAACTCAATTAAATCACAAATTTAGCTGTGACGGTCCCACCTGAAGACGGAGACTCGTGTTGTCTCCGAAACTTCGTGATTTAATTTAGTTATTTTCATTTATTATTATTTTACATTATTATTATTTTTACATACGTGACTTTACCGAAAAAAACCTAAGAGTACTTGTCAGCATTTTTGTATTATTATGGAATGCACTAGAACAGTTGTAACACTGCCTTTTGGTTATATGTGGATAGCCTGTAATTAATGCAACGTTTTAAATGTTTTTTTGTTTCTGATGCACATGTTTGCTTGTCGAGTCACACGATAGAAGGCCACAGATCTGCATGGTATACGGGGTTATTCAGTAAGGGTGCAGAGTTGTTGTTTTCGCATTTACTGTACATTGTGGAATTTAAAAAAAAGTTTATTTCAAAAGAAAATATGGCAACGCTTTGGTGGCCTTGTTTTGTTGGCGGACAAACATTTCCGCCTCTTGTCAATTTTGGTGGACAGCCACCAAGTTGGCACATGCAGTTAGGCAATTTATTCCCACCGCATATTGGCAAAAAAACCCCGACATTTCCTCCAACAAATTTCAGTAAGCAAGCCCTGCGTTCGACCCACGTGGTTCAGTTGTTGCATGAAATTCATGTTTAACAAAAAAAAGACGTGATGGCAAGTAACGTGTTACAATTGCCATGCTGTTGTAACTGGAAAAACCAAAGGGAGGGTACACGGAAATCTTGTATTATTACATCACTGTCAGTATGTGCACATATTACCATTACATAGCCTGTACTGGTTGACTGCTTTTTGTAGTTAAATAAAATGTATTTAAGTTCTAAAATTAATAAAAAAAACAATTAATGGTCGGAATGACCACGTCAGCGAGTGCAGCAGGCAATGCAAAAAGTTCACAATCACAAAGAAGATAAATGTAAAAGTATCAATTAATCACGTAACATTTCGTTAAAAAAAGTAAATAGAACGTTTCGGTATATTAATTATAAAACATTGGGTAATGAGCAGTCAGTGGCTGAATAACTTTACTCACAACACTGATCTCACCTCGGTTCATCTATTTTCACTGCGTCTGTGTTGGGGAAAATAAATAGTTTATTGTGACCAATGATGAGGTCCTTGCTGAAGCAGTTATTTCTTTTCATTGTTGGCTGTTTTGGCGAAGGTGATGTGCAAAAAGTATGAAAAATGCGTACGTATGTATGTTGAACTTCGTTCGCACCGTACGTAGCCAACCATGCTAATGGAAGGTGCGGGGAGGCACAACTTGGGCTGCTTAGATTAATCTAAGACAATTATTGGAAACAGCTCTCGGGGTTGTTTTTTTGCTGGCTAAAGCTGTGTATCACATGTGCTGAATTTATTGTACATATGCTACTTTGTAAAAAAAAAAACCCAAAGCAAACTTGTTAAAAGTGTCATATTGACACATTAAAGAAAGTGTACATTTCTATAATTTGTATAAATTTATATACCTGTTGTCTTGTGAATTGTTGTAAATGTTGGAAACAAATCTGTATGTATTGTCCTTTTGATTTTTGTTGTTTTTTTTCCTTCAAAATTATGCTTTAAAAAAAATAAAATATATGAATTCAATTTATTTCGTGTCTGGAACTCGTTCCCCCAAAATTCAAGCTACCAAATGTCTGGGCGGCTCAACAGCGACACACCAACTCAACCACGAACTCCACAAACCAACGGGGGAGTTGGCCTCTCACGCTGGCCCCGCCTTCTGCTCATAGGCCACTCCCACTTATCTGTCTAACACGCCCACTCCGCTGCTGGCCCCGCCCACTTATCTGTCTAACACGCCCACTCCGCTGTTGGCCCCGCCCACTCTTCTACTGGCACCTCTGCCGGACCCGCCCAGCCACGTAGGCCTCGGCAAGGTAAGGTAATTTACCCTTTTACCGGGTAAAAGGGTAAAGGTGTCGACATGCCAAGGGGTAAGGTAAAGGGTAGGGTAAAGGTAGCTCGGAAGAATTACCCGGTAGGGTAAAGGAAGTGCAAAGTATTACCCGGTAAATACAGTAGCTTGTTTACCGCTAAAAGCTCCGTGGCGCAGTCCGTGGCCTCCATTTAATAAGTAATATTAAAACAAACTTGATTAAAAAACACGCTTTTATTAAATGTACTCGTAATGGCAAAACTCCACGACTCCAGGAAGTGGCCCCGAAGCTTGCCATAACTTAAGGGACCGTGGCCAATTACAGCCAACGTCAGTTGAGCGTGGACAATTAGACCCAAGCCGAAACATAACATAAAAAATAATGTTTAAAAATATATAAAATTTTTACGATAGAATATATTGTCATCAGTATGACATAAGTATACCAAGTTTGCAGTCGATACCACATTAGGAAGTGGGTTAAAATTGAGTTACAAGATTTGAGGATATGACAACGACGACAACGACAATAACAACGACAACAACAGAGTGAGTTAAAAGAAAGCGTGTAAAATTGGAATAATCAAGAGTATTTTATATGATTAAAGCGCTCTACCTAGCATTTACCGTTATAAACCTTGTTCATGTGTTGTAGTTCCCTAGTAATTACCCTGTAATCGGGTTATTTGTATGGGGTAAGGGTAAAAGGTAGGGTGAAGGTAAGCTCGTTGATTTTTACCTTTTTCCTTGTACCTTACCTGCTAAAGGGTAAAAGGTAAGGGTAGAGTGATTGTAGTGTGGTAAGGTAAAAGGTAGGGTAAAGGTAGGCTCGTTGTTTTTACCTTTTAACTTTTACCTTACCTTGCCGAGGCCTACAGCCACGCGCAACCTACTACTGACTCCGCCCACTGTCCAGGTAGCCCCGCCCTTTCGTCCCTCCCACGCCCCCCCGATCATGAGTCAACCATTCAAGCAGAACTTTTAAAACCCGGTTACCAAATCCCAGTAGGGAACAGATGATTATTAATATCTAACATTACCCTACGACAACGTTCGATTGTTGCGGTTGTTATGCGAATTTGTGTAAACGTTAGTCTCATAATACGGTATTGTCTTGCCCGACTTCATTGTGCTATTTGGATGGTGCGTAAAGTGATTCATGATCGGGTTAAGGATGCGTAAAGCACAGGGGGACCCTTGAACCCAATGGGCGAGAACTCCAAGCCAACTCCGACATACGGATGTCGTTAAAGCCTCCGAGAGAGTTGCTGGGATTATGGATGTAATTCTGTCCATACAGCACCGTTGCAGCTTAATGTGCAGACATAATAAACGAAACGGCTGCGTTGGCCAATTGTATTGATAAACTAAAGTGCAGGTGCTCTTTGGACGAGATTGATAACAAGGCCGTGAGAGATTTTACGAGGTAGCCTTCATCCAGCAGTGGATAGATCATGGCTGCTGCTGCTGCTGCTGTGGATGATGATGATGATGGGCATTTCATGCAGCCTTCATTGTCTGCCCCTTGAGGGGGTTCGCGATGTGAAACGTTCTGCCTGAGTGAGGATGAGTGTTGGAGATGCAAGAGGTGGCGGAGGGAGCTATCGAGTGTGCAGGCAGTGCAACTGCACCGGGACCCACGGGCCAGAGGGGCCCACGCTCCGCTACTGGGCATCGGAGGATGCAGGAGGATTAGGATGGACGGGCTGGCGAGGAGGGACGTGGAGGGATTGGAGGGTTCGGAATGAGGGAGCGGTAGGAGAGAAGAGCTGGGATGATGAATGGACACTAACGTTGTTGTCGACGACTTTTTTGTTTGTTCTCGATTACTCGGGCCCCCCTAAAAATAGCGGCCGTTTCCATATGATGGCGTCATCAAGCCCCACCCATCACCTACCGTCCAGCAGCACATGCGGATACAAGGTTAAGGCTTTGAGGTCCGGTTAGTAATACAACCGCTAATCGGTAGAGAAGATACTAACAGGACAGCCCAGCGCGATAAGAGAGTGAGTAATCTCGAGCCAACACAATTCCAGCCTCTGCCCTCCCTCCTTCAATTGTTACCGGGTCTCACTGCTCATGTGTTCCAGCTGAAAGATGTGGGTGGGATGGCTGAATTGTTATGGGAGGGGCCTTTTTCTGGATTTTTTCATGCGTGGCACGCATAGTGCGGGCCCATTAAAGGACAATCGTGGGCTGGATGTCACACAGCAAAAGGCTGCGTCCCAGATGCTTCAGCAGCTCGCCAAAGAGAAGCCAGGCACAAGGAGGAAGCCGGCCACCCGAATGGCAGGGCCTGTGAGAAACCAGGACAAGGGCCTCTTCAGAGTGGCCAGGAATGCTGGGAACCTGACAAGTGCCCTACTTGTGTGTCTGTGTGTGTATGGGGCTATGGGCCGGTAGTCGGGAGCGTTAGTTTAGCGGTTAGTGCGCTGCACTACGAACCTGGCGACCCGCGTTCGAATGCCGCTCACGGCCAACACCATTGACGATTATCTGAACCGATCCTGGGCTTCCCCTAAGACGACTCAGCCTCAAATGAGTACCTGGTGCGGTGCATAAAACATCGCCACTGCGGAGATAAAGGCGGCTGGGTGTGGTGCTGGCTACCCACCCGATAGTGTGCCGTGCCGGCCTTCATAGGTGCTCGCTAACAGCACTTGCCCCAACAGTCTGTTAAGGCTATACTGGGGGTTTTGTCTATGAGGCGATGGGCCTTTTTTGTTTCTGGCTCTGTATTTATGCACGGGGAGCAGCCGGTCGTGATGAACTCAATGAGTTGGAACAACAATAGTAAAACATTCTTATTTTTTCATTCAGTGAGTTAAGTTCGATTCCCAGCCAAGGCTGACATGAGTGTTGAGTGGTGATTGAACCGGTTCTGGGACTCTGGCTCTCCGCCTTCACGAACCCACAATATCCAGCGTGGTGTCTTTTGAGCAAATGACCCACACGATGTGGGGAGGCCTTCATTCTGTAGTGAATTTAAAGCTGTGAATTCTGTTTTTTATTGTGTCACGTTGTAATTATCAGGTGTGTTAATTACATTAAATTAGGATACAAAAATATTATGTTGTCCTTCCCCTGCACCTCCGATGAGCACGGTTGGCTACGTACGGTGCAAAAGAACTTCAACGCACTTGCTGAAATTGTTATTGTATAGGGCCACAGGATGGCACAACGGTAGCATTTGTGCCTCACAGCAAGAGGGCACTGGGTTCGATTTATGACTCGGGCGCCTCTCTGTGTGGAGTTTGTATGTTCTCCTCCTGTTCTTCATGGGTTTCTCCCATAGCTAAGGGAAAAAAGCATTTAAATATACTTTTGTTCGAAAAATCTACAATTACTCAATTGGGATTACACGCAGCAACATCGCCCCTGCTGCAAAACTTTGGCAGGACTCTCATAAAAATACTATTGAAACCCAATGAGATGTTTTTCTGTGTAAACAAGCACAACAAAAAAACAGTACATCGTTTATACAACGGTAATTTTTGTTGTAAAAGTAAGCCATCCCGAGTCGGCGGTGGAAATTCCACATTTCCATGGTGATAGCCAGTTTCTCCAGAGGGCAATCACCTAACAGTTGTCGTCTCACAAAATGTGACTCATTGTATTACAATTTTTTTTTACCAGATAAGGCTCACTGAGCTATACAGCTTTTATTTCTAAAGTGACCTGGCTATCAACGAAGTGGCTTATCATGTGGAAATGTTTCGCAGACAAATACTCTAAATGCATGTTTCTAAATGTGGAGGGAAAATCCGGAGGGCCCGGAGAAATCCACGCGACCACAAGGAGAACGTGCAAACTCCAAATATACAGGCGTCAGTCAGGGTCGGGATCGAACTCACGACTTCTTGTATACCAGGTGAGGTAGTTCACATATTGCCCCTTATCAATAATTCTGCTTATAATTTCGCAACTATGATAAGCTGAATCGAACTTTGGCACAGATTTGATCTTGCAACTCCTCAATATAAAAATATATACTTTTCTACAAGAGTCCAGCTAGCTGATGGGGGGTTGTTTGACTCCATCATCCTGATCAGTATGTGTCGGTAAAGGAAGGGTGCCCATGGCCACATTGGATATCGCTCACTACTGATGTTAACCGTGGCTGGGAATCCAACTCACGGCGCCAGGTTTATAGCCCAGCGCAATTAGCACTGCACAATCACCTCCACAAACTATAAGCAATACTGCATGTGATAAATGTGTTCAATTCGAGATGGCCGATATCAGGATTTCGTGATGAGAAAATCTGACTAAAAGTAGGCGACAACAGCGTGATTGTTCCGTCGTTAGGTCTTTGTGCGCAGCTTGTAATGCAATTTGTTGTCTGCCTCGAGATCCCCCACCAATTGCATTGGACCATCACTCACACGGGACGGTTGTGGGGGAAATGTGATTAGATGATTATGCCCGAGCCCTGTGTGACCCCTCCGTTTCATGGGGTGTCCACTTAAGGCTGGTTAGTTGCAACAAATGGCGTTTGTGCGTAAACGTACTCTCTTAAGAACCAGTCCGGGCCAAGCCGCATCCCATCAAAGCACAGAGAGCTCAGCATCGAAGTTGTTGTGTGGCTTAAGGGATTGCAAACGTATTTGAGTTAATTACATGTCAGACCAGATCATCGGTGATGCAATTGCTAAGGTAAAGTAAATGTATGTAATTGTTTTTTGTATTGTACATTAGTATTTGTCATGTTA